TACTATTTCATAGATTTCCATTAAAATAAGAGATCTAGTCGTCTCTCCAAAGTGAACACCAATATCTCTATGGTTTAAGCTGAATTTTTTTCAGGTTGGTGATTTTATACACACTGAATGTCAGTACAATAATCAAATTTTAGGGAAATTTTCCTGATCTCTCTCACACTTTGAATAATTCCCAATTAGACCTTTACTCACTAATTAACCTTGGGAAATAATATAGGAGTTTAAATGGGATTCTTCTAAAAGCCTTAGGTGAGCAGGATGAGGAACTTTCTATAACTTTGAGATGATGTTCAGGGGTAAATTTTTAACACAAAAGAACCCCACAAAACATATCTCAGTTTGTGATCTTTCAGAGTTGAATCCTCTTGGCTTCTCCTGACAGTAGATAAATATTTGATCAATGTCAGTTAACATGAACTGTGAAAGTCCTTTAATTTTGGGACAGTGTGAAGACAGGCCTATGGCCTGAGAGTCCCAGGTCAAGCTCTTCCCAGCTTGGAAAGGCAGGTAAATCATCCTCATTGTTATCATCTGGTTGGCCAGGTACAGACTAAGGAAGGAGGTAAAGCCTTTCCAACATGAAAACAGGCAACTTTTCCTTTGTCATGAGGGATTTAAAGTGCAGATTGGATGGCAGGATGTTGAGTAGACTTGACTGACACGACTGACACAGGTTTCTTAAAACAATTGATACAGGAAGTTGGAGCTATTATTATTTTTTAACAATTCAAACTATTACTTCTGTAAAGAGTAGGATTTAACAATTTTATTGATTTTTCTAGCCACCAATGTCTGATTCTTGTCTTCTGACATGTGGATGACTGTATGTTTTGGGCTCCTTGCAATTGTGGGTGACATGTGACTAGTGCTAGCCAATGGACTGTGAGTGTAAGTGATGTCACCTTCAGGCTGAAGCATGGAAGGATAGGTGTGACATCAACATGTGCTCTTTTCTTGTGCTTCAGCAACTTATAGGGCCTCTTACTGAGATGGTCAGAGCCATAAAATCAAAGTGGTCAGATTCTCCAAGTTACTGCACAGAAGATGTTTGCCCTGGAGTGCTGCCTGCACTCAGGACAGAATTTGCCTAAATAAGAAATAAACCTTGGTCATGCTGAGCCACTGAGGCTGTGGCACTATTTGTTACCACAGTATAATCTTAGTTGAACGTGCTAGCAAAATAATCTAATAATACTGCGTTGGATACCTTGATTTTATACTTGAAATAATTCAGATAATAAAATATCTGGTTAAGTCAGTAAAGTATTTCTTTGTATGCATCCATTAATTTGTTCAACTTCTCAGCAAAATATGGGGCATAGATTGTATGCCAATCCCTGTGCTATGCTGAGGGAAGCCTAATATTATGGTTTATATAGCATGTGCTCTGGAATCACTTCCTGAGTTCAAATAGTGTTTTACCACGTTTGAGCTGTGTGATGAATGTAGAGTTTTAAACCTTCTTTGCGTTAGTTTCTTTATTTCTTTACTTGTAAAACAGTGATTATAATAGTACCTGTCATCATGTCTTATAGAGTTTTGTGAAGATAAAAGGAGATACTATATGTAAAGCACTTAGCATTGTGTCCCACTAAATAAATGTTCAAAAATGTTAGTATTATTATTTGATAACATCCCTGTCTTCCAGCAGCTGTTATTCCAACTGAGACTATCACAATCTAGCAGTAAAACCCATTTATATTAGTAATTCTTTTATTAGTTTTTTCTTGCTGTCATAACAAATTACCACAAACTTAAAAGAACACAAATTTATTATTGCACTTTCTGTAGATCAGAAGCCTGGGTTGGCATGGATGGTTTCTCTGCTCCCAGTTTCACAAGGCTGAAATCAAGGTGCCGATCAGTGGACTGTCATTGGGAGTCTCTGGGAAGAACTGGTTTCCGAGCTCATTCAGGTTGTTGGCAGAATTTAGTTCCTTGCAGCTGTGGGGCTAAAATTCTTGTTTCCTTGCTGGGTGTCAGCCGGGACCATGCTTGGCTCCTGCAGGCCTCATTGTACATGTGGGCACCTACACCCCAGATCCAGGAACAGTGCGTCAAATCTTTTCTCATGCTTACAATCTCTCTGACTCTTCCTTCCACCTCATCACTCTTCTGCTTCCAGCTGGAGAAAGTTCTCTGCTTTTAAGGGCTCCTGTGATCAGATCGGGTCCACTCAGATAACCCAGGATAATTTCGTGTTTTAAGGTTTTAACCTCAATTACATCTGCAAAGTCCCCTGTGCTATGGAATGTAACATCACAGGTTCCGGGGATTAAGACATGGACATTTGGGGGGGACCTACACAATTCCCCTGGGTCCATAATCTACCTCTTTCTGATTTTAGTAATTAATAGTACTACCTATTGAGTGCTTTCTGTTTGGTAGGAAATAAACCATATTTCTCTATCTACCTCTATAATCTTCTATCCAATTTTCCACAACATTGAAAACAAGTTATTATTAGTATTTTTCATTTCAAAGATAACAAACTGAAGCTTAGAAAGATTACAAACCAGGTCTGTCTGACTGCCCCAATTGGGACTTGTACCACACTTCATGTCCATAGTGGCCCCTGGGCCTCTCTTGACATCTCAGCTTAGTTCATTATGAAAGACCAATTGGGTTCCCCACTGCCAGTGGTTCAGTAAATAAAGCTATGCTCTATCCTCTAGCGTTATCTAAATAGTCATATGTGTCCAGAGACAAACATATTTTAGCAGTCTCTTGTGCTTTGGGTCAACATGAGGAGGTGAGGTGAGGTGGTGCTAGTGATCAGGGGATAGACATTGTCCATATCACAATAATGATAATAATAGCTGATATTTATAGAAAACTGGTTATGTGCTGGGTTTCTGCTAAGCACTTTACATGGAGCCCTGGCACTCAGTTAATTCTCAAAGCAAGTTTATGAGGTAGGTGCTGTCATCATACCCATTTTACAGAGTGTGAAATTGAAGTGTGGAGAGCTTATGTAACTTACTTAAGGTCTCACATTTAGAAAGCAGCAACATTAGGTTTGAACTCAGGTCATAGAGCTCCCTTATATTTTAATATTACCAAGAAATAGTAGTCTCTAGATGCTTCAGTGTACTATAATCATTTAGTACAGAGAAAAAGGATGTGTAGATATTTTAAAAAGAATGTCATATCATCTACAGCTTTTTCAAATTTTATTGAATCTGACATTCCATAATTTAGAAGGATATAAGTCATGAAGACAATGACAAGTTTGCTCATAATGACAGAAGTGACTTGATTTTATTTATGCCATAGATGAAATATGTAATGGTGATATTTGGGCTGACTTGAGACTTTGTTGTGATTTTTCTATGGTGATACCTGAAGAACTCAGTGGAAATGCAGGTGACTTCTCATCCTTATCAGGATTAACATTCCCTTGAAAAGATGTTTCAAGTTAACATTAAAAACAATGACAATTAAAATGTGTTCTTAATTATTGGGCTAGAGACATAAATATGTTATAATTGCATTTACTGTCTTTTTTCTTTAAGAGCTTTCAGATACCTTGAAGGATACATTTTTATAGGACTAAATTTTACTGCCTTTAATCTGAATTGCAGTACTTTTATTCTGAAAGTTTCCCATGGCTAGAACAGTTATTATTTAATTGAACATTATGCAGAAAAATATGAACTTCAAATTGATAGAAGATGATCTTGCAAGATTTTATTTGTTTTCATTAATTTAAAAGGGAACTCTTTATGATATAAAAATGTTTCTTAAGCTCCTGCCAATTAAAAAAACACACTAGAAAACTCATCTCAAATATAATCGAAATGTAACGCTCAACAGCTGAAGGCTGCCATTTGGAGAACTTTGATGAGGCTGTAGAGGTGGAGTCAATTTCACCTTTTGACAGCAATGGAAATGTGGCTCAGAAGTTTTCAAGTTGTAAGGTAAGCTCTGCTTGCATTCTGAAATGAAAAGCTGTCACCTTATTTAGAGCTGACTCATATTCAATTTAAAATTCTCCTTTTTCTAATAATTTCAAACTGTGATCCAGATGCTACATTTTTTTCCAACTTTTCTAGCTTTTATGATGAATTATTAGATCAGCAAAGGCTGGCCTAATAATTGCACAAAATCTTAAAGCACTACTTGGAAAAAAGCCTATTTGGGATTCTTAAGAGACTTTTGGGTTTTGACGAGCATTTGTTCAATCTTGCTGCATTCTTCATGAAATGAAAAGTTTGAATTTGCTGTTTATAAAATAATTACAGCCTGAGAACATTGTTTCAGTTTTCAGCAAAGCTTAATACCATTTTAGAACTTAGTAAGTTGATCACAGGGACTTTAAAGAGGTCCTAAAACTATCTAGCAAGTTATTTTGAGACAAAATCCTCCCATCTCACTTTTTTCATGTTTTTAGTTTCCATATTCAATAGGGCACTAGATGCTTAACAGTTATTGCATTACTAATTTATTAAAGACCAATGGTTGATAGAAATATCACCAACAGAAAACTAAATCATTCATCCATCCAACAAATAATAATTGTGTAAAATACTGGTTGAGATCTGTACAAGCAGCAATAAGCCAAACAGGATTTTTGATATCATGGAATTTATAGGCAAAGAAACCAAACCTCCTCTCCTTATGGGAAACACTTTCCACTGGGTTAATGGCGGTAATTTTGAAAAGAAAATGTCCTGTTAGAAGCTAAATTCTGTCAGCTGATTTCAAGCTGTGGTATATTTTTGACATGCCAAATACTGACTGATAATAGTCATATACTGCTATTTATTTCATTTACTCTACTGAAGTTTTTTGAAAATGACCTGATGATTATAAAACACTTTGTGTGTGCTTCCTGGTACATTATGTCTGAGATTACCTCTCCTTTGCTGCAATCTTTTTAGCATTACCTGTTTAACAAACAAAATCAAAACCATAAGCCTTGGTGTCCACATATGTTCAGGGGGAAACGGTGAAATATTCTTAAATTCTGTCTTTCTGGCCTCTCCTAGTGTATGTGGGAAGGACTCCTGCCCTGATCAATGTTAACAGGCCCATAGTGAGTAGCATAATTGCTAGTACACACATAAAATTACATAAGACACAATTACATAACAATAAATTGCATTGGAATTTATTATGTGCTTTGCATTGTGCTAAGTGTTTTACATGCGTTATTACATTTAACTCTTACGACATTTCTATGAGGTAGTTATTCTCGCTCACATTTTACAGATGAGAAAACTGAGCACGGAGAGGTAACACAACCAAGATCACAAAGCTAGAAAAACTTGGAAAAAGACTTGAACTCCAGAGGTGATGCTCACAATCACCAAGATTAAAGATTTTTTGAAGAAAACCCTGCTTTTACAACTCTGGAATTTCTGGGATGCAGGAATATAGACAGAACACATGAAAGAAGAATAAATGAATGACTCTCAGCTGCGGCTTGGCATATTCTGTGGCCCTCCTCCTCTGGGGGGAGCAAGATTTAGGGAAGGCTCCTCTCATTATCTGTTGAACATACTCATTCCAGCATTCTCTAAAAAAGTCATTTTAGAGTTGTTTTCTTTCTCTCCTCTCTCATTATAGCTCCAACAGATTAAGCAAGGTTAAAATTCAACTCACTAAACTTTGAAATCAGCCATTTTTAAATAGGAAACTAATACAGCAGTAAGAGTTAAAGAATAAAAGCCTATCTAAATAAGTATAGGAGTAACAGTATAAAATTATATTGCAGGGATAACTAACATAACCACCTCAAATATTCATGAGATAGAAATAAAAACAAAGGAACTTTGAACATTTTTTTCTTTACTCCTCTGTCCCTCTCTAAGCTTTTAAGTGACTTCTGACTTTTTCTTGTGTGTGTGCAAATTGGTAGTTTTGTGCACAAAACATGAGTATTTAGGTCCTTGTGCTGGGAAAGTGGAAAGTTAGCTAGGATTTTCTTCCTAAGAATTTTACGATAGTATGAAAATGTAACAAACCTTGAAAACAATGTCTCTTCTTGATTTCAATAAGCTGTATTTGTGAGAAGCATAATAATGTCTTCATTTGCTGGAAAGATATGTTCAAATATAATGGCATAATGAATTGTGAATCTGGCTATAAAGATAGACAAATCTATTACAGTGGTGTCATGCCCTGATAATACAGCTCTGCCTCTAGACACACTCATTACCTGCACCTGTAGCCAAACTATTGTACAAAAGGAAATTTTTAGAAGTTTTAACTTGATATGTGGGTTAGTGGGATGGTGGGTATCCTCTCACTGATTTTTTTTTTTTTTTTTTTTTTGTGGGGAAGGCAGTGAATGATTCCCAGGGAAAGCTACTTCAGGTTCTTGGAGATGGGTATGTTACAAATTTACTGGCTTAGAAGGGTCCCTGGGGAATGAGCAAAGCAAGCAGGATGCTGCTCTGTTGTAAAGATAGGCTTGATTCAAATGGAGATAACCTATGAACTCATGCTAGGAGTGCCGAAGACTATGATTTTAAATTGTAGCTTGTCCTGGGAATAAGGAGCTCTGTGGCCAAAGGACTTTACAAATGCCAAGTATGGGTGCTGATCAATGCCAATACCTTTCCAGCGACAGTTTGTGCTTTCCCTTCTAGAGGACGGAGTTGCATTTGATTAGGTATTATCTGGTGGTAGGGAGGAGGAGGAGGCAGCTTTTTGACTAGGAGAACTTTTCAGGTAGATGCAGACAGAATTGGGATGAAACAATTAGGGTAAAACCTATAGTACTGCCCAGGGTTCAGGGTAAAAGACTATTTCTGAACACAAGCCCCACAGGTCTCCTGTGGCCCCACACAGAGGTTCTCGGGCTGGTGATACTATTCGCCCTTTCGTGGTGAAGCTTGAGCTTTATAGGAGTAAAACATAACTGCAGCTTCTTGTCTTGCTTTAGACCAAACTTTGGGACATATTAATATCAGAGACTGTTTAAATAGAGCAATAAAACGACAACACTATACTTTAACTAAACCCAGCTTGCAAGCTAATTTTAAGGCAGCCCAGTTGGAGGAAGCCCATGCATTAATTTACTCTAATAGCAAGGGGGAAGGGGAGGGGAAAGAGGTTGAAAAAGCATTGTTAAAAAAAAAAAGACTGAAGAACTCGTGCTCAATTTCTTTCTGTCTTTTTTTTTAGGTGTTTAACACTTGTACAATTTGGTCAAATTATGGGCAGGACAGCAAGAGAAGCTAGTCAGCTTTAAAAGACAGAGAGCGTTGGAGACAGGACATGATTACTTTGCTGTGTCCCCACTTTTTTTCTTCCAAAAGAGACAAAGGGAAATACTTAAGAACCAATAGTGACGGCAAGGAAGCAATCATTGAGTTGCAGGATACCTTTGTCTCTAGGGGCACGCAGTAATTTTTCCATGTCTGCCACTGAGTGTCAAACCTTTTCTTTTCTTCTTCTTTCCATTCTGGATGGCCAAACTGATTATCTAAAATAGAAAATTAGCACACAATGGGTTTACTCTGCGATACCCCTTATGCAACTAATGGCAAAGCTTGTTAATTGGTTGTAAATGCCAGCAGGTTGCCAGGATAATACTTCAGAAATAAGCGGGTATTCTGATAATTACAGCAATCTTCATCTATAAAAGCTTAAGTAGATGAAGTAGTGGCTGGCTTAAAACCAAGATTTATCCCGCTGCACTCACATTAAAAGAAAAAATAAGATGAAAACAATAATGTAACAAAACAATTATATAGCAGGAAGCTTTGTAGGTTTTAGAGATTGTGAAAACTCAGAAAGTAAAACAGTGCTGTAATAACCAGTTATGGAAAAATAGGCCATTTACATTTGTGTATAATTAAATAGTAGGCTATGCAATTTCACTTTTTAAAGTAAACTGCCTTTTCCTTTTTTTATAGGGCAACGTAGCCATAATTGCTGCATTAAAGCTTTAATGAAAGAAAAAAGCAGCAGATCAAGATGACATGTAACGTCTACATTTGTACCGTGGCGCTTTGCTTGTTTAGTAATGGGAAGCTACTGAGGAGATTAAAATTGCAGAATTCTTCATAGTTTGTTCTAAAATTGCTATAGGAAGATCATTCAGGGTCTAAAATATACACAATTTATTTTTCCACCTTCAATCTGCAAAAATTTAATGGCTTTCATAACTAGTAGGTGGTTGGAGATATGTTTTATATTAGAGACAAAACTACTTTGCATGATAAAAATTATCAAAATTGAGTAGATCAAAATTTAAACCTTAAGGGACTTCCTTAGCCCATTAGAATATTGCCCCAATATTATATTATAGTGAGTGTTTAACTTGGTGTGGTACAAGGAGCTTTCTTGTTCAAAATATCAACAGGTTGGTTTGTAATTCTGTTTCTTTATATTTTGCAGTTTCTTTATCACTCCCATTAACATCAGGAACTGCAACAAAAGGCAACTAATTCATATAAGGAGGGAACCTTCCGGAACTGTTAATTTGCACGTGGGATAATTCAGTTTTTTAGACAAAGCAATAGTCTCCCTGTGAGCTTCTTTTTCATAAGTTTGAAATATTCTTCAGATGTTATGCACCATATAGGTTGGCTATGTTTTCTGTAAGCCATCCCTGGCAGATAAGGTAGGCAGAGATTGGAAACCTTCATTATGTGTTACAGTACAGAGCAGAGGGTATGAAAACATGCTGAAACACGCCAGGCAAGACAGCTAGCAGAATACCAAGGATATTAGTGCCAATGGCTAGAGATACAGTGGTCCTAAGAGAGGTGTTTGGGGTTTTTTTTTGACATTTATATAAAATCTATATGATCTTATTCCTCCTGTTGTAAAAAAGAAAAATGCAAAAGCAACTACTAGTAAAAGACACCCTAAGAATAGACACTATAGGCCTATAATTTTGGCTTTTTGCTTTCTCACTTTAAGCAAGGGACTCGATTGCTCCAGGGTTTTGTTTTGGTATTAGTTTCTCACAGGGCGGAGGAAATTCATCTTTCTCTATGTGCAGTTCTTCTGCCATGGAAAAACTTTAAAAGCAGCCTCCTGGAGTCACTGGCTTCCTCACAGAAATGGGAATACGGTATTGGCACCGGGGCTGGAAGTAAGCTTTGCGGGTAAGCAGCGCTCCGGAAGGGCGGCGGTGCCCAGGAAGGAGCTGGTGCCAGGCAGAGCCGCCCCCTTGCGTGGCGCAGGGATGTCGCCCTCTCGCAGAGAGCCTCTGCAGCTGCGTTTGTGACGATGCTACCTGAAAGGGAGGCGAGGGGAAGGGAAAGGAACAAGAAGCGTTTTTAGAGTACACATGGAAGGTAGACAGGGTCCTCTTCTACGCCCAAGTCCTGGGGGTGAAAGAAGTTAGTATGTCGCCTGCGCCCCGCTGCTTTCTCGTCCCTGCGCGGATCGGACGCGGGAGGACCGGCCTCCTTCACCCCCTGCCCAGTATTGCTCGTCTCTTCCAGGCTGGCAGTTGTGGCCGAGCTTAGGACGGGGCACACAAGGCACTTCGCTTTAGGCTGACTGATCTAAGTTGTCCTCTGTCATCTACGTCTTTGCATGTGATCCGAATGGGCAGGGAAAACAGCAGAGAGAAGAGAGAGGCCTTCTTCCCCACAAGCTTGAAACTGGCAGATTTTTGGGAGCTGTGTAGGTGGGAGGCAGGAGGTAAACTTTCAGGGGAAGAAAAAAACTAAACAAATACAGCAAACTATTCAGGATAAGTTATGGTGGGGATAGGGGATGGGGGTGGGCACATATCTAGGACTGTCTTTGACTACCTGAGACCTTGGGCTCCCCTCGTTCTGTGTTGAAATCTCTGTGTTGAGAGGTCTGGGCCAAAGGGTGTCCTCAAATGGATCACATGTACACATTCACAGAGAGAAAAACTTTTTGAAAAGATAAAAAACATATTTTAAAGAAAATCAAATGATACAAGGGTGCATGAAATAATTTTTGCCAGTGTGAGAACTTGTGGAAATTACACATCTAATATATTTTTACTGTTTTTGAAAGAAGAAAATTGTTTCTTTTAAGTCTGCTGTGTGCTTGGCCTAAATTCTTTATTATTCTTAATGGCGAGACATAGTTTTCCACATGGGAGTTAAATACTCATGTGATTTTCTTGAAGAAAAAATAAAAATGAAATAGGTGGAGAATTCAGTGCTTTTCAGTTTTGTCTTTCAGATACACAATGAGTATTATCTTTTTCTGTAATGCTTTAATTCTACCTTGGTCTAAGTTACTCATTCTTTAAGGGTTGTCTGATATTCCTGAAATTTTTTTGGACAACTTTGT